GTAACGTCTTTAGTTGTATCCGCTGACTAAGTTTGTTTGAAAAATGCCGATCCCAAAGAATAATTGCTCCGTCGAATGGCGATTTTGTCGGCATGTTTTTTCACTTTTGTTGCATGATCTGTCAGTGCCACGCATCCACGTTAATTAAGTCACTACAGTACACACAATAATCTTTGCCTGCTACGTCTGGTTTCTTCAAAAATTGTCCAAGAGCTTCTGTAACTTCGTCGAACTTGGAACCAATTTTAACCTTTACAGTGACTTTTCTGTCAAGCCAGTCCTATCGGAATTTATTCTTGACATTTGAGTCAGTTTTTAGGATTGAAGACTCCTGATCTTTCGTCAAAATTTTCATAATTCCGCTCAAAACGATCCCAGAACAATGAATTTGCGATACGAACAGGCCGCCATGAATCAGGTAAACAATATGTTACATGCAATTTGATTGGTCCAAGCGCTTGTAGTTAACCAATCGCTGGGCCGTATATATAATCGAGCTGTGATCTGATTAGTTAAAGCTTTCATACACGTCCAATCGCAGGGCTGTTTACAAACGGAAAACAGAGAGACTGTTCGGGAGAGCTCGTGAAAACTCGACGATAAGGTATCTGACCGCCCCTAAATTTTTCTCAACGGATTTAGACGATTCACAAAAATGATCAATTTAAGAAATAAAACGGCGGATTTCCGCGGATCCGCGGAAAATTGCCATGTATGGGTGCGTCCTGTCCTATATATGAAAAAAATTACAAAATAGGCCATTCGTTGAAAGTGCGCCTCATCATCCAGTGCACCTTTTAGTGCGGAAAATACGGTAATTCAATTCAAAACAAGTTCTGCTTGATGCTTCAATGATTTGCCTCCTTTCTCCCGACACCAAACAAGCTTTGAAACGTTTTTTTTTTTTTTTCAGAATTGACTTGAATCAGGAACTGGCAGGCGAAGAGCAAAATTCTCCATGTCTGTCATAACCTTCTCACACTTTGTCCCACTTCCAAGCGCAGCGGCCACTTGGTGTTCGAAGCCTCATCGCGGTCAAGTATTGTTGCCGTCTTGATGGCAAAACAAGAAGAGTGTGCTGAAGAGCGACTCTTTGCATGCCCATTTTGATCGAAGCAGAAAATGGATTGGCCCGTTCGTGTCCAAACGATTCACCCCACTGGTGGCCAACCTAATACGGGGCCGTGCGATATTTCCTGTTGATGGAACTTGATGAAAGGGCGCCACGGACGTGATATGGAGACACCATGAATGCACACTAAGGCTGCGTTTACACCCCTTGATGAGGCGGCTGCTTATTTTTGGAAAAATAAGAGTCATGAACAAAAAAAGAGACGTGACTTGTCGTGGTGCTTACTATGTGGAAGTTGATGATTTCCTGAAGACTTTGGCCACACTTTTCCAGGAACTCCTGCCAGGAATGCAAAGCAAAGAGGAAGTGGGGGTGAAAAAATGATGATGGAAAGATCAAAAAATGCAAACACTCAACACACAGGCTTGTTTTTTTTTTTTTCTGATCAATACGTGAGGGGCAAATAGTTGAGGATTTTTGGGTCCGGTGACCGATAGCCGTTGATCCGGCACGCACAGCCGCCTCCCTTTGGAAACCAACTTTAAAGACGAAAGAAAGAGATGCTCATCTCCCCACCTGCAGAACGTAGTCCAAGGCCAGGTGACGGAAGCACTTTCGGGCGACGCTGAGGGCGCAAGTGGCTTCCTCCACCTCGTGAGCTTTGGTCCTGGGCGCCTGCGCATTCTTCACCTGCGCGATCTCCACGTCCTCACGCACACGCTCAAAGTGTTTCCTGGTCTCCTTGAACTTGCGCACGTCCCTAAAGGAATCGGCCACACCTGAGTTAAATGTGATTGGAGTTTGCAAACTCTCAAATCTTGTTGACTTTTTTTTAATTCAAAGTTAAATTCGTCAGGTAACAGACAAGTTTGAGCCTTCCGTTGTCTTGACAAGCCCTTCTCAAATTTGCCCCACTGTGATGTAACAGTGGGACCATTTCATTTTCATATCACCCCCGAGACCAAGTTCCTTTGCCCATGACTTGGAAGGTCAGACTGAGTGAAGATCCGCCATTATCAAGGCACAAAAGGTTGACACTGTCTAAAGTAAAGATGTCAAAGCCAAAGGGGACCCAGAGCTGTAGTACGTTGGCTGACTTGAAAATACACTTTGACACTTGTAACAATATCATTCTTTTCTAAAAACAAATGTGACGGTTTCACTAAAAAGCAGACTTTCTTTACTTCGAAAAAAAATACTGACTTCTTGCAATATGAATTTTTTTCCCCCTTCTTTTTTTCAAATTTTTCTTTAAAAAACAAAAAACAAAACGTACTCCTTCACAATGGGGTTAATTTCAATATTCGAGTTTCTATCTAACTGTGCCGCTTGTCGGGGAGGCTCGAGGAAGTGGTGCCACCGCCAGGGAAAACGCAAATGAAGCTTTGACGGAGGCTGGCCCTTCCCTTCAGATTCTTGATTGCGTGAGAAAGAGCTGCCGCTCTCCTCGTCATGGTAACCAAAGCCCATCGGCCCCGCAGGGCAGGGGGCGAGGGGAGCGCTGGCACATCTGCATGACACGGACCACCCCTCCCGGCCCCCCTTCAAAACGAGTGATTTCAAACAGCGCTGATGGCAAATGTGCTGTCATTCTTGATCCGTTGTTGGAATTTGACTGACGAATGTCAGCAAGCACCTCGGAACTTTTTTTTCCAAACACAATGTTTTTTTTTCTGCTTTTTTTTTCAAATTTTTTTTAAAAAAAAACAAAAAACAAAACGTACTCCTTCACAATGGGGTTAATTTCAATATTCGAGTTTCTATCTAACTGTGCCGCTTGTCGGGGAGGCTCGCGGAAA